AGATATTTCAGTGGGTAGGACTAATCACTAAATTGGGCATTAACATTAACGGACCTTATAGATTATTGCATTTAATCATGTGATACACTGAACTCATATTGTAATGGAAAATGTTTATTATGAATTCATATCTTCAGTAAACGTTTTCTAGGATCATGATTTGAGTTTGTTTCTGAGTCCGTTGAGAGAAAATTCAAAATGTTATTGATCTGTTACAACTCAAGGGATCCATCACCGATGCTTTGATAAATATTCCATATCCAATTACTGACGGTTGACTGATCAACGGAGAACGACCAATGTTATGTATCTCAAGTCCCAGTTATCAGTCAGTTGTAAATATATTTCAATCTTACAGGTCAATCTCGGCCCGGATAGTGTAAAGATTGAATCAACCAGGCAGAATTAGTTCCCTTAAGATTACATGTACATTTTGTTGATGAGTGCCAAATAGAACGAAACCTAGGTCTAGGATATTCTGTTGACTAACTCCAAACATTAGCATACCCACCTTTTAATATTTAATTCATACTTACGAGTACAATTATTGAAAATATTGTGAAATTGTCTTACTAATTCCACACCTAGAATAAATATACCCTAGTAGGCATTATCATAAAACTTATATACATTCAATGTGATTGACTCCACCAATAATTGAATGGTTAACAATCCGGGTGTTTAAATGAACACATTACTACACAAAATTAAAAACACAGACATATTAGGTTTTAAACTGAATAAAAATTAACGAATAAGCTTAATAGTTATGCGACAAAAGGAGAATGATTGATGAGTACCTCAAATTAGTCGAAAATGGTTATAGTTCAGCATATGTTCAGCATATTGATTGCTGTACAATTAGTCATTAATTTTTCTGTGCATTTTAATGATAGTTATTTAAAATTCATTCATTTAATCACTCTTGCTCTTCTCAGTCATTTTTTTTTATGTTTACGTTCAGCTGATAATTTCTGACACATGAATTAACTCTCTATTCATTTATTTATGTGATTAAGTCATGTGATATGATGTCACTGTATAACAGTGTTAATATATTTGACTATACTGAATAATGTTGAAAACGGTACAGTAAGCCAAAAGATAGAAGATATTAGACCAAAGAAGTAGTTCCTGATTTCACTGTACATTTTCTTTTTTTTTGGGGGGGGGATGGAATTGTTGATATGATCAAAGGACTATATAATTTTGAATTCCGTAATACATTTGAAATTTCGAAACTGCGACTTGGAAAAACCTTGTGTAAGCTTCCCCAATAGACCACATCATGCAATGAATAAACCAGGCTACCTTTCAAGTGTCATGTCTTAACCGCCACGTGTATCGGCATAATAGTTACTCATTAATTTCTTGTTCATATACAATCATACTATGCGATTTTATGTATTGAAACAAACTAAACTACAAATACTGGGACATACAAAATCATGCATGCTAACAATAAAACAAATTCATAGACGTACATGTTGCGTTTGATGTACACAGAGACATACAAACAATTAGTCAGTGAATAACATTAAAGGATGGCAATGTGTATTGTAACAGGATATACATTTTTACAAAAAACAACAACCCATCTTTGTAAAAATAAAATGAATTTATTTAAATTTGAAATATAACCATATAATGAAAAAAAGAAATGTATCTCAAGAAAAAATATGGTATGATAGTTATCGTGAACAATATGTGCTAATTCATAAAACAGTGTATCAACTTACCAATATCACTTTCATCAACACTTATATTATTTCACTAATTAATATTCACTTTTAATTTATTTCATGCAATTATTCATACAAATTCAGTTGTCTTTTATTTTTTATTCTCTCTCTCTCTCTCTCCCTCTCTCATATTTCTCATCATTTCTACAATCGTTCTTACAGTTATTCATTTAGTATTATTCATGCGTAAATTACTAGGGCTTTCCCCAGTAGACACACACGCATACACACACACCACATACACACACATACACACATACATGTATGCAATAGAAATAAACATACACACATAAATAGAAGAGGAAAATATTAAAAAAATAACTCGAAATTATCTGTATTTATGAATTCATTTAATTGTTGTTCTCATTTTCATGTATACAATCTATTGTATAAAACATTCATATCATAGTTATCATTGTTTTGGTACAAAACTATTGCCTATTTCAAATCACAATCATAATAATAATAATAATAATAATCATTATAATATTTTGTGAAGGGAATCATGTTTGGTTTTTTCAAGTCTTCAATAGTACAACAATCCCAGAAGTAGTGTCTTTGTTTTGTAACGGACGAGAAATGTACAAAAAATAGAGTCGATATTACTAGATAACAACTAAATTATCCTAGTTTTGGACTTTCCAACAGCGTATATCCACAAAAGTTAACAGGGTCAGATCCAGGAAGTGCACTGAGTTCGTTTACTTTCGTTTATGATGAAATTATGTTTAAACTGTTCATCACTCGTTCTCCATATATAGATAAGTTGTCACTCCCTCATTCAGACAAGTCATCGGCTAGTTATGACCATACGCACACATACACGTATACACAGTTTTGTTCATTGACAACATAGATTAGTGAAAAATGGTTTACTTGTCTTGTATAACATTCCGTAGCTACTTTGGTTAAAATTAAAACATTCACAACAGTCATAATCAAGTTTGTACTTGTTCTAATTCAAGAAAAATGGGATTACCATTACACACACGAAATTCCTTTTAATCAGGATGTATGCTGACGGTAATCGGTAATTAGTCTCCAATTTTTTCGTCATTAGCCCCTGTTTCTTTTTCTGTAAAAACTGTCAATCAATTCATGCGATTTATGTAGCCATATGAAAGCTTTTTTACGTATTATAAACAACATACTAGAAACTATCAGTTGTAATTTGTTTCATTCAAGTAAATACATATTTAAGAACCTTCAAATGGATAGATTTGAGATGAAATTAAAAAAAGAATACTGACTACATATTAGATAGACAATAAACATCGCCCAGTCCATTTAATTTTTTTTTCGAAAGTAAAAACAATACTTTTTAGAAAAATGAATACAAATTTTAAAAAAAAATGGTTTGACAGATTATTTTTACATTATGTCATTAAATGATCAGTAAGGAAAGAAAACAAGAGAAAAAACATACACCATTTCACAAACAGCTGTGACAACTGGTAAATGATCGAACTGATTAGTGACTACGAGTTTTTTTTCTAATCACTAGTCAGTGATTAACTAATGATAAAATTACATTCAGGTGTTTGAATTTATAAACAACATGATTTTTAAGTTACTAAGCTGGTCCGATGTTCATAATAATTGCTATAAATGAATTAATATATCACGTGTCGTATATATATATATATATATATATATAAATATATATATATATATATATATATATATATATATATATATATGCATATATATACGCCTTTTTACTGATAACATGAAATGAAAGTAGTCTTACATCTTTCATGTTGCTAACTTTCAATCATTAAGTATTGATAAAAACAACAACCAGGACGAAACGGCCGTCCAGTGCTTCCAGGTTTCCAATGGTGGTCTAACAATGATTGATTGATGACTTCAAATGTGTAAAAACAACTGAGCTTGAAATCTAGTTCAAAATAGTAGTATCAATGTTGTGACCATCATAAAAGTGATATAATATGTGTATTCATAGAGTATTCATTCTTTCGACTAATCTGATTAACAAAAGTTGTTTGTGATTCATACATTTCAGGCATTTATATTAGCAGACAGATGAAAAGAGAAAGATGTGAATTGGAGAAGTCAGTCAGTCAGTTGCGACCTAGAACTTCGTACATATGTACATAAGTTCATGTTGCCATACCACATTAGCACAGAGACGCAAATGTCAAATCAAAACCCATAGTGACAAAGATAGTAGAGGTATTAATGGAAATGAAGAAGACTAGGCTTTGAAGATATTATTCAAAAAGTATAATTCAGTGAGATAAGATTAGAAAGACAAAGGTAAAGGTGCTGACGAATCCAGAAGATTAGGATTTGAGAGAGCTCAACGAATGGATGCACTTGCGCCATTGCAAAAGATTTTGAGCCATGTCGTTCAAGGTCTCTAACCATTGGTGACTTTCGTGTTGCGGACCACAACCAGGTAGTCTACATCTACCAACATGGCTCAATCCACTTGTCAGTGACTTCATGGATTTCTGCCATGTTTTGGTCTGGCCGCCCCCCCACCAATAACTCCAATTCACAACGAATAAATTGGTTGATGAAGTCGATATGTCTATTTTTTTAAAAATTATTGTAGTGTATTCTGAAGAGGTCAAGTGGTATTTGAATGAAGTTTCAATTTATAGACAAAGAATTTATTACTAAAGATGGCTTTGATGTATTCATTCATAAATACATACAACCAGTATTCGTGTACACATGTGCAAACGTATCTCTGTATGTGTGTTGTCTTCTAAGTAAGAGAGTTTCATATCCAACATTATTACAACTACCACTCTAAATCATATAGTCACGACGTATATGCATATATCATGTATATGCATATATGTATATATGCATGCAAAACTAGAGTGCGTTAAATGAAGGATATACAAATTAATATAAAAAAAATTAAATGTGTGTATTTATGTATGTGTTGATGTGAATTGTATGAGTGATTTTCCATATGTATAAGCTCAATCATAGGAGAGACAGCATGGTATCAAGACGACAGGGACGACATACGAACACAATAAGCCAATATGAATGACACAGAATATCTGCACTTATTTGAGGTATGAACAAAAAGAAAAATACATGTAACCGAAATTATTCCAGTGTTGATTATTATTCATAGAAAGTTTATTTATTTAGTTATTTAGAAAATACAACATAAAATTACAATGATTATTGACCATTTAAATGATTATTAAATAAATAAATCTAAAAGCTGTTTACAATATGTTAAAATACTGCAGGAAAATAAAAACTTACTGGTGAAAGATGAAATCGTTTTTTAAGATCTGAACTAATTTTCAATTCATTTGCTGATTGCATTAATTTCACCGGAAAATAAACACGTATTGTAGCTAAAGCATCATTTATTGTGAAATTATCATTGGATACACCTTCATTTGTATTGTTTGCATTTACTAATGAATTTGACATCTCGTTCATAGATTTACTGGTTAATCCAATGGTCTTTTTATTATTACAATGAACCGCAACATTAGAATTAGTATGATTTGAAGTTGATTTCAAATGATTACTATCATTGCCATGATGTTTTGATTGATGAATAGTATATCCACTAGTTGAATTACGATTTTGTTGTTGACCTTGTTGTTTATCATGTAAACGTTGAAAGAAATGTATCGGTGTACATAGAATTGGTATTTTATTGTCATGACTTAAATCTAATGGTATTGTACAGCCTAATTTCACATCGAATTGTGATTTACCATAGTTATTCCAGCATGGATTGTGTATTCTTAATCGATTATAAAATAATTGTGATTGATGTTCACCGAAGCATTCGATTAATTCAATTTTACATCCAGATAATTCACTTTTGATAAGCATTTTGAGAAAATACTTTCTAATGACAATTTGTTTGAATAATATATGTTTGATACATAAGGAGATTGATGATATAGATATATCCACTGTTGTTTTGTTTAAAAGAATGTTAATGTTTTAGGAAAGCATATATCATAATATCCAAATATTTATGCATTTCTTCAACAATCATATCATTTAACAGATTTTTTTTTAAAAAAAATGCTAAAATAAACTTAGATTAATACAATTCCGATAGTTGGTCACTATTATTCAACAACATAATAGTAATAATAATAATAATAATGATATACGTCACACGCACAGAAAATCACAACTACTATCTACCTACAAACTTCACACATCGTGATATGATTCTGAAATAGATGTATAGATTTAACAATACATATTTATAGAAATACATTTAAATGTATTTGTACTGTGTGTACATCTGTAATTTTTCAATCTGGTTGTGTGTGTGTGTGTATATCTATCTATGTTAGACGCGATCGATTGTTACACCGCAAAGATATATTAACATACTTATTATTCAAGCATTTTAAACGCATTTGTGTGTATCTTCAATGAGGGTATGTTTGCATGCACTGCATACACATAAGTTTGTTAATATGAGCGTGTGTATGTATGTATGCGTTAATGTAATGCTTGAATTATACGCGTAATACTAATACTGATAACAAAAGAGATGATCCAACGATTTTACTGAGCACATTTAAATATAACACTGTAAGACAGAATAAAAAAAAAATTATGTTTAGAATGAGATTTGATACAGATTTGATGGTAAGCACCGATAATGAGAAGTGCTTAAAAATTTTTTTTAAACATGAATATGTATTTATTTCATTTTGTTAAAAATTTATTCTACAGATTATTCTCAAAACAAAATATTACTAAATGGTGATGAGCTCAACTAACCTTATATGATTGCTAGTATATTTTTCCTTCATCCACTAGACGTTCACTAAAGCAAACAATTTAAAAATTGTGTGCACACAGCCACATCTGTTAAATTAAAAGTGGTTAGTTAGAGGTCGTAATTATTCATATCGAGAGTTTTTAGATTTTTGCTTTAGGTCAGTGTACAGAATCTGGCCTGTCTGTCTATCTATTTATCTATTTGTATATATCTATTCATGCTAACTAGCTAGTAGTTTGTCCATTTGTTTGGTTGTGTGTCAGCTAGCTAACAATGCCTGTTGGTTAGGCCAAAAACGACTTAAACATAGAATGCCTGTGATCGATTGGCTAGACATATTTAATCGAAAATCCACCCCTTTACACATAATAACATAACAAAACAGGCCATGGGCTGATTTGTTTGTCCAACAGGGGGCTGGCCAACTCAAGCCATGTCAAACCTTCAGGAGAATGACGCTAGTTAGTGGAAATGGAGGATTAAATGGTCATCATCAAGATTAGGTTCAACAATTCATGTAGCCCGGTTTCTTCTTGATTCAATTGTTTAAACCTAAAATCACATCATCAATGCAAAGTAATTTTTTTTAAAAAAAAACAATTTTGCTTAAGACTAAAACTGGACAAGATGCAAACATTTCTAACTGGTTAAAAATGGACATGAAACTAATTAAATTAGTTTATCACTATATTCTTATCAAACTATTTTAGACGTAATCAACATTATTGAAATCGAGTAAAAATATGACACTATTTATTAAACTTAATCTATTATTCAATAATATATTGTTGTTTCTTTTTAATAATCTGCTTAGATTTCTAAAAAAAATCTATTTTACTCCTTTTCTGTGTCACATTTTAATAACTAGAATTTGTTTTAATTTTACAACTTTATTTAGATAATATTATTTATCAATAAAAAAAATAGTTTTGTGCGTATTTGTACAGCAATTCTACTATAATACTAACTGACAATCAATAATATTTTGTCTACTGTTCAATGCTCACGGGATCATGCTTAAAATATTATCACCGATTACAGTTACTTAGGGCATATATGTATGATTAATTGTTGAGTAGTAATTCATATCATATTTATCTAATCTGTTTTACAGCTCGATTTTATTGGTCAAGTTGGAAAAAAGAACACTAATCGGGATCGACATTGTGTGCGGTATGTTAAGATATCAGGAAGTTAAAAGTAGTCACGAGGTAACTGTGATCCTAGGCTTCATTGGGGTTAGTACTTGTTGGCTTGTCGTATTTACAATCTTGAGGGAACCGATGGTCCCTTTGAGGTTCAGACATAAATCACCTAACTCTACAGTTTCAGACTTTACCACAGTAAAACGTAACAGATAAAATTCTATTCACACAAGGGACTAAACAACCATGACATTAGTCATTACTGAATGATCATTTAGTTTTAAATTTCTTGATTTTTCGCCAACAGATTCGATAAGTTTCAAACAAATTTCATACAAATCTTAATTTGTTTGAAAAACTAGATCTTATAATCATCAAAGTTCATTCTGACTAAGAAAATTTGGAACACTTTGATTTATTGATAATACAAAATTATGTACAGTGACAGATGCTTATTACAATATACTGTCTTCAAATTGCGTAACAAATTTAAAAAAATAAGCCGAACAAATGTTTTTTTTTTCGCGTTGTTATAATAGCAGCCTACGGTAAAACGCTTTGTTATGATTAGGAATTGAAATAATTAATCCTACTTTTATGCTATTTTTTAATGTTAAACAAAAATGTTGGTTTTCTTAATGCTGAGTTGTTGTGTTGCTGAGAATTGTGACAAAAAGATATGAACACATTTGAATAGTAAACAAACTGACAAATGAAAACAATCATAGTTAAATGGCATTACAAACAATTGTAATATAACAATCAAAACAATATTAAATTTCAATGAGTTTAATTCAATTTGAAATGATTGGGAATTATTAACTGTGTTCAGGATATTTTGACTGAGAAAAAAAATTTGATACTCTATAAATGATGAAATTAAAACTCAAGCTGATAATTAGATAGTGAGAAAAGTATACAAATGAAAACAATATCATACATATATATAAGTTCAAGTTAACTTTTGTAAATTAAACATGATGAATGTTGATTACTTGACAAAATCGAGGTTCGAAATCATCAATCAATCATTGTTTGACCACCATTAGAAACCTGAAAGCACTGAAAGACGGCCGTTTCGTCTTGGTATGGGACTCATCAGCAGTGCGCATCCACGACTCTCGTTCCTCACAGGATTCGAACCCGGGACCTTCGGCACTGTAGGCGAATGCCTTACTATCGGACCACTGGGCCGGCATCCAACGGTGTTAATGTCTAACTCTGATTGATCTAGGGATTTTGCGTGACCTCACCCATTTGTGTTTGGTAGTTACTGCCTACACCCGACAGGGTTGGACTCCATTGGTCACGTCTTCTCAACTAGAACTCCGAGAATTTCTTCACGAAGCTAGTCACTAGTGAGCACTGTTACGATATTTTCAGTTAAAGCTTCGGAGATTTGTAGTTTTTAAACATTTGAAATCATCCAGGTTTCTAATGGTGGTCTAACAATGATTGATTGATGATTTCAAATGTGTAAAAACGCAAACCTCCAAAACTCTACCCCAAAAAAATAGAGGTTATTTTCAAATTGGTCAATCGGTCATTTAGCTAACGAGTCATGAGTAGGAAAATACTCTTGTTTCTGATTCCACCATTGAACATATTCCATAGATTTCTTTTCGGTCAGTTTGTTATTTATGGTACGATGATTGTAATATGATTGTTGACATTCAACAATTTCATTTAGAAACTATTCCTACAAGGACTGGCTGTAATACAAAATGAAGATTTAGTGAAAGAAATAATACAAAATCTGTACCTCAACTGTGATCACACAATCAGTGAAGATTGTCTTAGCAGTTACAAAATGAAATGGTTCATTAATAATGTTGATCTCGTACAGAAAATCTGTTTACATATATTCACTCAAAAGGAAAGGCCAATTATTTAATACAATAAATTAATTATATTTTTTTATTTGTAATAATAGTTTATAATCTGATAGTATTGAAAACTATGATCATATGTAATATTATTGATTAGTTGATGTGTAGTCTAGTTTATTCAAATTTAACTATTGATTAGTAAAATTAAACTTAGAGTATTGACGTATAAGTTTATGAATTAGATTTTGGTGTATTATTCATAGTCATTTGTAATTCTTCCACTCTTTTGTTTTTTTTTGCACGTTAATCTATATTGAGTCTTTGCAATTATAGTGTTTAACTTTAACAATCACAATTTCTGATTAAAATATTTGATGACATAAACTTAAACACATAAATGATTACAAAGTGAAAAGTTCTGTTAATATTTATACATCTCATAACTATTTCATTCTGTGGTTTGTTAGTTTATGAGGATTAGTATTAGTTTTTAACGGAAATTTAACTTCATTTATTTGGTGAACAAATTAAACTGAACAAATGTTAACTTAACTTAAACGAGTTAGTGTGCGTGTGTGTGTGCATTGTATCATTTATGTTAATTTAATAATAAATTCTCATAAAATTAATACAATAGTGAAAAATATACGATAGAATCCTTATCTTCTCCATCTCTCATATCACGAAATGGCATTTCATTTGCTGGAGTCATTATTATCGATGTTATTGCTGTGAAAAGGAGAAGTATGTAAGTTCCAGGTTGTATCATTACATAATAACTAGAGAGAGAGAGAGAGAATCGTTACTAAATCAACAAAGAATGGAATAAAGTTAAAATTAACAAGACCAAGCATGAGTTATCAATGAAAAGATGATGAAGAGGCAGAAAAATAAAACATGCAAATCATTATGTTCAATGTTTAAACAGTTCGTTCAAAACTGTGGTTCATATGATTCACCATCTTGAATAGTTTAAACAAAAAACTATTGACTTTATAAATTCTTGGTATGAATTATTTTCTCAATTAAATCTTATTTGAAATCAACTTCACATGTCAATCTTAATTTGTTACATAACGAATGTAATGCGCAGATCTGTCAGTTGACCTGTCACTCTTTACTTCTGATTTAGTTGTTATAAC